ATCCCGGCAATCACTTTGAGGAGACCTTGGACAACCGCCGCCAGGTGGGCGCTCGTCCCGGAGATTAGCCAGAACTGCTCGTTCCTCCACCACTCCTCGAGCCCAACCCCCGACCACTTCACCTCTAGGATCGCCAGGGCCACGAGGCAAACCGACATAGTGAGGAGGAGCCCTAGGAAGGTCACGTCAAGGGTCTGCACGATGAAGTGGCCTGAGAAGAGGGAAAGTGCCGGGAGGAAGCAATAGACGATAAGGAACATTGACGTGAAGGGGTAGACGCCAACATTGAGGTACGCGAGCCGCTGCAGGATTTTAAGACGCTTTGATGCAAGTAGCGCGTTGTTCCTCGAGAAGAAGATCTCGACCGAGCCCGTGGCCCACCGGAGAACCTGGTGGAGCCGATCGGTCAAGTTGATAGGAGCCGAGCCACGGAATGAGTCGCGCTTCGTCACGCAGTAGACCGAGCGCCAGCCGCGATTGTGCATTCTGTAGCCCGTCACCACGTCCTCCGTGACCGACCCGTAGATCCACCCGACACGATCGCCCCATTCGGTCTTGTCCTCGTACCAGCACGATATTACGGACACGGCTTCTGCTACCGTGGTCGCGTCCAGGGGCTCCCGTGGGGCCCGCAGAATCCCCGGGGGACGCCCGTATTTGACTGCTGGGTGATCTGCGATCGGGCGCCCCTGGAACTCCGCGACAGGGATCGACTCGGACAGCAGTGTCGAGTTCCCGAATCGCTTGGGCAGCAAGTTCACGTCGAGATCGGGGTCGAAATCGCTCGTCTTTAAAGCCTGAGTCTCCGAACTCTTTTCTGAGATGTTATCGACTTTCGGAGGGTCGAATCCGTAAAGAGCGAATCTACGAAACATGCAACCTGTCCCGACGTACACTGGGCCCTACATATGTACGTAAATTTTATAGTTTCTTTTTCAGTCCATCGTCGTGCAATTAAATCATATGCTTGAAATTATTTATAAATATGTACACACAGACCTGAAGGCCATCGAGCGCACGCATGTTGCCATCAAAGAAAACAGTGTTGTGATTGGCATAGCGATCGGATGGATCGATACCTTCGAACCTCTGAGGAAATTGAATGTAGCATATGTCCTCTCCACCCCTATCCATCATAAAGCACATCCCTTCTCGAATAGCCTTGCAGTTATAGATGTAATGATCGCAGTCGAGATTGAGTATGAAAGGACCATTGGACAGCACGGCCGATGCTCGCACAAGAGCGTTCATGGCACCAGCTTTCTTGTTATGGTCATATCCCGGACGTTTTTCACGAGATACATACACAAACATCGGCAGGCGTATGTCCACATCAGTAAAATCTAGAAGCTTGTCATCCGAACTTCCGATTAGCGGGTCACTACTAGGAGGCTTAAGCATTACCTACACACATATACAGATACAAATGTAGTTTGATTTTGAAATCCTCTCACAAATAATACAAGGTGCATGGAAAAAGAAGGAAGAGAATGTTAATGTAACCTGGAGAATTCCTGCGTGATCGCCTTTGGCGTGCTCACGGGAAGGAACTTGCCAAGTCCCAGGCCAATGAGTGCCATCAGCCATCCACGTGGCCTTCTGGACCTTGATGGGCTCCAATGTGTCGGCCCCGCTTTCCCTCATGTGCTTGAGCATTTTCATCTCCTCCCTAGCATTAAAAGCCTCAGACCTCCTCCTGATGGAATCGGGCAACCCATTGATCCTCACTTTGAACTCGTCATACTCCCTCTTGACCCTCCGCCTGTCCTTGACAAAGTCGAGCCGGCTCTTGTTCTTGGTGGGGTCCCCCTTTAGAGTAAAGTAGGACTCGGGGTTACGGGGCTCGATGTCGTGCTTCCTGCAAAAGGGTACCCATAAGTCGGCGAAGCTAGCAGCCTCAGCCATGGCCTCGAACGTGAGAAGGGCTCCACCATCATCCGAGACATAGCAAGCCAGCTTCTCGACAGGGTAATCAACGGCCAGGATTGATAGTATGGTGTTGGCCGTCACGAGAGGCGGTTCTTTCTCAGGGTCGGCCGTCGACACGAACAAATCGACCCCCGGAAGGTCCGAGCGGCCGCTCGGATTGGAAGGCGACGGCATCTCGAATTTGTCGCGCAGAACGTCTAAATCGGTGGTTCGGTTCACGGGGTGCACTTTAGGGAGCTGGTCGAGGATCCAAGAGAAGGCGAACCATATCTCGCACACGACCGACATTAGCCAGAGCCACACGGCCTCGGTGTTGGGATGCCTCAACCTCCACGTGAGGAAGAAGCAGAGGATGATGAGACGGAGAAAGATGAGAAGCCTGTAAGGGCTGATGATGCTGTTCGGGATGTTGATCACCCGGCTAAGGGGCCTCCAGGGTTTATCGCAGTTCGTGTCCACCATGCCCTGTTGATCTCCGTACCCATCTCCGTCTTGGGGCCAGTACGCATTGCCATAGCCGTACGTGCCTTGAGTCTCGAACAGCCATTTGTTGTGATCAAATTGCTCCCCGTTTTGGTTCCTTTTCATCATCGACATGTTGTTGTTGTTGGTCCCCCGCTTGGAGTCATCTGGGCCGGGGAGGGACAGGGCCCCGCTCGAGTAGTTTGGCACTTCATCATCAAAGTCCCCTACTCTGTATGGCTCCTTGCATCCCGGGCACAGGCCCGTGTCTTTCTGGGCGTCCATGTAGCAATCTCTGCAGATTTTGAACCTGTAGAAAAGGAAAACCAGCCATTTGACGATCTTATTTTAGGGAATCACTATAGTCCCGCCACATAATCATTTCGTGGTTATTACTAGACTTCAGATACATATGTAGATTAGTGTAGTGTAGATAATCCATTGTTAAAACAAACACACTGACACAATCATTTCGTGACGAGACTGCAGTCTGTAGTCATTTTTTTATTTTTTATTTTTAATTCTTAAACTACTAACTAGCTAAGCTAGCTACACTATTTGGTTCCAATTCTTGTATGTAATCAATTAGAGAGACTCACCTGCATTCACAAGGGATAACATCGTTTCCTCTTTCGTCCTTCATGATTTTTCCATCACAGGCGGGCATTGAGCACGACGAGCCCTTGGATCCCGCCATCTGGGGATGGCTGACCTGTGACTCTATCACTTTATCCATGAGATGGGCTCGCGTGACGCTATTGAACCCTCCCGTGAAGAGAGAATTCGACACGTACTGTTCCTCTGCTTTAGCAGCCACGGATGTGTCCATGGGCTGGTTGTCGGGGGTCGGTGGTATGTGGACCGTGTAGTTCGTGTAGTCCCCCGAGAATTCCCCCGACATGTCCAGATCCTCCCTCGACAGGCTCACGTATCTCCCACTAGATGTTCGCCTCGCGAATTTCACCGTTTGGCCGGTCGATCCTTTTTTTTCATGCCCACCGGAACTCCCTGCAGGTGTGCGCATCGCCTTCTTCGATGGCTGGCTCGACAGGCTCGCCATCTTTGTATGAAATGTATTGTGTTGTGTTGCAATCAAATTCAACTCAAATTCGATAACAATTTATGTGTATGCTTCCATGATTATTATTACTAATTCATGATCGTTCATGCATGGACGATTTTTTTGTTCCCTTTTCATCATCAATCAAGGAAATTAGTATATGCTATGGTGATGATGAGAAAAGGAGACCAATAAAGAATGAAAAGTTGCCTTTTTTTTTTTGTTTTACTTGTCCTCCGAATGTTGGGGGAAGGAATGGATGAACAAAAGAGGGACCATCAATATTGTTTGTGTTTGGCCATTACAATTTTTCTGTTTGCTTCTTTCATTTTATGGCCACCATTGTTACAAGTGTTCTAAATATGGCAAACTGATATAATAAATGATACACATGTCGACGTTCAATATTCTTGTTAACGAACATTTGATTATTTTCAGGTGCAAAAATATTATAGGAAACGGTCTCGTTACGGAACCATCCCGTCAGGAATTATAACCGTTGGATACACATGTAATTAGCATAAGTAGATAATCTAACGGTTAAAACATCGATGGAATTGTTCTGGGACCATAACATTTCTCATTATTATAACTGAAAACATTATTCATGACATGTTCTCGATTAAGACTGAGCTGAAACATGCTTTAGGTCCGTATATTTTTTAATAAGAAAATAAAAAAAAAAAAATCTCCTATTATCTCCACTCTCGTTCCTTTTTGTAAACCAAAGCATCTCCAACATTTCTCATTATTATAACTGAAAACATTATTCATGACACGTTCTCGGTTAAGACTGAGCTGAAACATGCTTTAGGTCTGTAGATTTTTCAAAAAATAAAAATAAAAAAAAAAAATCTCCTATTATCTCCACTCTCGTTCCTTTTTGTAAACCAAAGCATCTCCAATGCCTCAACGTCAAAGTTAAAATTTTCTACCACTGGCGGTAAACAATTAGACGGTTATTTCATATGAAAGCAATGTCTACGAACTGAATAACAATTGTTGATTTTCATCTCCAATGCATACTGTCATTCTTACATATATTTATTTTAAAGTATACAAAATAAAATAACAAAGTAGTTTTTAGAAGACTAATAAACAAAGTAAAATGATAAATTAGTTTTTAAAAGACTAACTAAATACATTGGATAAAACATATCAACTGAACATACGTAACACTTGATTTTTTTTTAAGAAATATTTCAAGTATAAAATATATCAATACACCAACAAAAGATCATTTGAGAAAAAATAATAAAATTTTAACTACGAGATACTACACTTAATGATTTCACTCTCGCTCCTTTTTGTAAACCAATAAGGTTGACGTTATGACATAATTATTTTTTCACTTTGAATTATTTTTTAAATATAGTTAGTTTATTAAACATGAAAAATATGAACATGTGATGAGTTATTTACACTTTATTTTGGTTGAAACTTCTATGTTCTGATGTTTTACATTTATATAATTAATTAATTATTAATACAACGACCGTGTATTACACGGATGCTTGCTAATTTTTTCCTTAAAATCTAAAATTAATGAAAAAAAATAGTTGAAAATTTAAATACTTTATATAAAAATATATATTATTATATATTTAGTATGTCACTTTTCATTTGTGCGACTTACATGTGTTATATTATAATAATATTTTTTAACTTACAACATATAACTACATTAAACACAAACATATCAATTGAGAAATAATTTTATTTTTCTAATGAATTTTAATAAATATTTATTTATTTTTTATTATTATAAAGATAAATATAATTTATTTATTTCATATATACAATATGGATGTCAAATCGAAGATCATCAAAAAATGATTAATTTGATATATTATATATGTAAAACCGATAAAAAATACAAAAGTTATCAACTTTTAAAATACATTTCTAATTCAATAGCTAATTGAAGGAAACAAATAAAAGTCATGGATATATTAGTCACTTAGTGTCACACTATGTAAAATTACAAAGAATTAAAGGGTTATATTAGTACAAGTGATATTAAATACCGAAGTTAGCTAAATAATATTTATGGAATGTCCGAACCTAGATAATTAATTATTAATATATCAATATTATTTGTCCAAACCTAATTACGAAGCATGATTTTTAGGATTTCAAAACACTAGAAACAGCCACGTAGGCTCAGCGCATTCGGGAATTATATATAGGGGGCGCATTCGGGAATTATATATAAGGGATGGTTCATCACGAATGGAAATAAGATCATATTATTGGTAGATCATACTACATAAAACATAAATAAATAGTTTACAACCTAAATGAAAATGAACAAACTATCATGAACGATTATAGTGTAATTTGAGTCGATTAGTCTTAACTACGAATTACACTAATGAACATCACAAACCTTTGGACATGTTATGAGTTATTTACACTTTATTTTTGTTGAAACTTCTATGTTGTGATGTTTTGCATTTAGATAATTATGATTCATCACGAATGGAAATAAGATCATATTATAAAACTTCCATGTTGATGTTTTACATTTAGATAATTATGGTTCATCACGGATGGAAATAAAATCATATTACTTGTAGATCATATTACGTAAAACATAAATAAATAGTGTACAACCTAAATGACAATGAATAAACCATCATGAACGATTGTAGTGTAATTTGAGTCGATTGGTCTTAACTGACGAATTACGCTAATGAACATCACAAATGTATTGGACTAAGTTCAATTTTCAATTGAGCATATTAATTAGGATCATGTGATTGCGAAACAATGTGTTCACCATGAACTGCTTAAACATATCAAAGTGTAGAATGATCACACAATAAAACATACATCATAGGAAGAACATAAGGTTATATGGATGTTGGGAGAGTTTGGCTTGCACAACCAAAAGTACCACCACCACCAAAGAAAAAACAAATTGGAGAAAATCAAAATGAAGAATTTCAATACCACCTACGAAAGTAGAAATAACACGAAAATGATATCGTCCATTGATAAGAATTCGTCAATAAAAATCAACTTTGTTCGTCCATTACCATTGTTTCTTCTACAGGAACGGGGGCAGTATCACCCATCGACGAGGATATCTTGGCTTTCCATCCTTCCCATCAAATAGCTGAACGAGAAATTGTATCACACCCACATAAAATTCAGACAGTTTC